TTTCCGTAGAAATTGGCATAGGCCTTAGATACCTTTCTTTTCTTCTTAATATTTTCTTTATCAGTTTATACCCTCTCTCAACCCAGTTTCTCGTTTGTAAGTTAATTTAACAATTAGTAAACAAACTTATAACAATATATTTTTTTCTGAGAAAGTTATACTAATTGCAAAATTATTGTAAAAATTAAATTTATATTTAATTATAAAATAATTTTGCAATAATTTTGTAAATAAAACAATTTTGTTTAAAAAAATCTAAAAACTATATATTAAACTATAACTTATAATTTTTATTTTAATATAAAAATAAAAAATATTTATTAAAAAATTAAAAACTTTAATATAAGATAAAAATTTCAATTTTTATTATATTTAATTAATATAATTATATATATAATTATATAATTCTGTTAGCTACTTTATAATAATATTATTTTATAATTTTTGATAATAATTAATTTTTTTGTAAGTTTTATTATATAATAATTAAATTTAATTCACTATTAATTTTATATAATATTATTAAATAAAATTAAATCAAGTTTATTTAAATTATATTAATTAAATTTTTAATTAAATTTATAATATTAATAGTTAAATTAAAATAAAATATTTTATATTAAATTAATTTTTAAGATAATTTTGAGTTATTTAACAAGTTTTAGAATAAATTTGTCAAAAATATTTATTAAATAATATAAAGTAATATAAAATAAATTAATATAATTACTTTAAATTAAAAAAATAAAAATATAATATATATGATTAAAAAATTAAGCTTACAAGAAAAAACAATCTGATTTTAATCAAAAATATTATATTTTTTAATTTTGAATTCAATATAATAAAAATAATTTAATTAAAATATAGTTTTAAAATAAATTTTTATATTTGATTTTATCAAAATATATTATATTAAAAAGAAAATAACTTGCTAATTTACTAAGTGACTAATTAAATAATTAAATAATTATTTTATTAATATTGATACAAATTTTATTTTTAATAGTGATTTTATATTATTATATATTAATAAAAAAGGCATAAAAAGATAAATATAAATATTTTAGTATTATAATTATATATTATAAAAATATAAAATAAAATAAAAACTTATTATAATTAATTTTTCTAATAGAAAATACTATAATATTTTAATTAAATTTTGCTTTATCATATAAATTTTTTTATTATAAATATATAATAATATTAAATTTCTCTAAAATATAATTATAAAAAGATTTTTTTATTATATTTATATGTAAATAGAAAAGCAAAACAAAGTGATTATAAAGAGATGTAATTATAAATAAGTATAATTATAAAGAAATTTGATTATATTATTATTACTTTTGTTATTATAATTTATTATTACTTTTATTATTTATTATTATAATATATTATAATAATTTTATTAAAAAATAAAAGCTAATTTTATATTATATTTTTTTATTTAAATTGATTTTATATTTAGTTTTATATTTATTTATTTGATAAAATTTTATTTTTAGTAAAATAAAAAATTTATTTACTTGTAAACTAAAATTTAATATTATTATTTGATCTCTTTATTAATTAATTAATCAAATAATTTATTATATTTATTTAATCAAAATTAAAATTCTTGTTTTTTAATTTAAAATAGAAAGAATAATAATAATAATAATATTTAATATTTTTATATAGTGAAAATCAGAAATAATATAATGACATCAAAATTTATTAATTAAATATAATAAAATATGAATTTTTCTCTTTATATAAAAGTTTTCAAATTTATTAATAAATATTTTTTATTTTTATATTAAAATAAAGATAATATTATATATTTTTACATATATTTTTTTCAGATTTTTTATATTTAATCTAATAAAGTTGTTCTAATTCATATAAACTCAATTATTTTTTTATAATTGAAATCTATAAAAAAATAATTGATTTATATATAATTAGAATATCTTTATTAGATTAAATCTAAAAAATCTGAAAGAAATATATTATTGTAATATGAATTTTAGCATATCACATGACTTTTCATAGTTTATTTTAATTGAATAATTAATTTATAAATCATATTCATATTTATTTTATTTTACTTATACTATTTTTATTATATTTCATTCTAATTTTATTATATTTCATACTATTCCATTTTTATTTTATACTATTTCATTTTATTTTCATTCTATTCTTATATTATTTCATTCTATTTTATTTTATTTTTATATTGTCTCATTCTACATTAATTATAATTCATATTAATCATATTTTATTCATATTATTATTTTTAGTATGAAAAATATGTATTAATTGATATATATAATTAAATTTGATTGATATTAATAATAAAATTTATGTAACATTAGAGTGAGTGATGTATAATCATTAAGCAGGTACTTTTTGTAACCTTAATATTAATCAAAAATAGCTTTAATATTTGAAGGTTGAATAATAATAACTTGTATAAATATAACATGTATCTTAGCTTAGAAAAATAATTTTCATATATTTTTGAATTTTTTTAGATTTAATCTTTTTATCTTTTAATTTTCTTTGACAAAATCTTCTTAGAAGTGAGTTATATTATAAGTCTTGAGTTAGAGATTTTTAGTCAAGTATTAATTACCTCTTTTCTTTCTTATTTGTATTCTTTATTATTTAAAAGATCTTTTATCTATAACAAATGATATTATCTATAATAATATAAACTGACAGAAATGGTAACAATATTATCTTATAATTTTTTTTAATATTTAGTATAATTTTTGTTATAAACTTGGAATAGTCTAGTAATATATTATATACTTGTATAATTTATATGTAAAATACTGATTGAGATAGTAATAATAAAAAATATAATAATAAAGAAGTTTTATTAATGAAATTATTTTAAACTTATTAACTATATATTATAAAATTCTCTTAGTAATAAACTTAACTTGTTTTATAATTCTTCTTATAATTATAAGAAAAAATTTATATAAAAATATTTTACTATATAAATATTATTAAAAGAATTGAAATAATATTATTATTCATTTTGTAAATATTTTTATTCATAAAAATTATAAACTGATAATAATCTAGTATAATTTATAAACAAAATATATTGCTATAAAGACAAATATAATAAATTTTAAAAAATTATAAAAAGTTTTAAAATTTAAAAAAACAAATATTAAAACAAAAATTATAATAATATAATTAATTATTATTAATTTAAAAATTATAATATAATTATAACTTGATTAATTAATATTAATATATAAATTAATTATTTAAAATATAATATAAATTAAAATAATTTGAGATAATAAAATAATTAATAAGAGTTCTTATTGAAAATTCTTTAAGTAAAGAAATTTAAAAATCTTTTTTAAATAAAAAAAACTAAAATTTATAAAAATTTAATTACATATATTTATAAAATTATTAGATTTAATTTAATTATTGTGACAGATTAAAACGAAACCAGATTAAAATGAAACCAGATTATAATAAAATCAAATCAAAATAAAATTTGGATCTATTTTTATGGAATAAAAATTTCAGAAGGGTTAGGGTTAGGTTAGAGCATAGGGTATAGCATTAAAATCTGTAATAAATTGATCTATGATTATTTAAACATCACACTCTGTTTCATTTTAATCTGGTTTCATTTTAATCCACCACAATTATTATATCAATAATTTTTATTAATTTTATTGTTTTAATTACTAATTTTATAAATTAATTTTGTTAAAATAATAAAAAAACTAATTATTAAAAACTAAATAATAATTAAATATTTATATTATAATATTAAACTTTGAAAATCTATAAATAATACTTTAAAACAATATTAAAGTATTGAAAAAACAATTTTACATATTTTTAGTTTTAATTTAAATAATAAATGATCTTTAACTTCATTTTTCATGATCACGTGCTCCAAAACTGTCCCGAAGCACTGTCCGTAGACTTCCCGTTATGACTTCCGGCACATATATATAATACCTGATCTTGCAATTGATTGACCTTTACATATCAATCCGTCAGTCAATTGACGACTAATCCTAAAAAAAATTCGCCACAGGGAGCCCCAAATAACCACAAAGTTGGGGGTAAACAACAAGCCATTGTTATTGTCCCGCTTCGTTTTATTACATTTTACCGTTTCCTCCCAACTGCCCTTTCCTTCTTTTGCCTTCTCGCTTTTCGTTATTCTTGTTTTTTAATTTTCTTTTTTAATGGTTACTCACTAGCTTATTCCACTGACCTATTTTATTATTTCAAATCTCAAATCTTTTTCCTGCTCTTTTTATCCTTTTTTTATTTTTTAGTCGTAAAAGATTTAATATACTCTTATACATACACACACATATCAGGCTCTTTGCCTAACTTTAGGCTTTAGAAAGACCTACTTTTGATTGTAGATTTTCTCAAAAAGTAGGCGGTGTTTTTATTAATAAAAACACATAAATAAACAATACAAAAAAGAAAAAGTAAATAATATAGATAGAGACTTTTTAATAGAACTCGCGAGTTCAAGACACTCCTCGTTCGTCCTTGTACAATATACTTATTAGTCTTTCAAAACGCGTCTTTGCATAACCTCTATAAATTATATGCAAATTCTCCCATTTCCCATATCGTTGCTGGTTGACAATGTATATGAATTATGGGCAAGCTTCTGGAGGAGTGTCTACACATTCTTCATCAAGAAATCAGAAAGCAAAGGTATTTACTGTCAGAGAAATAAGTTTGAGATAAACTTAAATATGTGATGTGTATTTATACAAAGATTTTAACCGAAAAATTATAGAAGAAAATTAATTCATTTTTTTAATGACTATTGAAAATTCCTTGTAAAGCTCGTTTTCGATTATGGTGAATTACTTAAAGAACTTTCGACACCAAAAATAAAGTCAATTGGTAATTATATTTTAGGGGAAGACCTTGGTGAAGGTAAAAAATTATTCATAAAATTAGTGTGCTATGCTCGTTTCAAAAAATCAATTAATAATTCATCATTTTTCCCTGTAGGTTCATTTGGACAAGTTAAGCTTGCGACACATAGATTAACTGGTCAAAATGTATGTAAATAGAAAATTGATCTATTTTTACCCTGATTCCCCTTCCTATTGGTAATTTACTAATTCGTTAAGATTCAAACAAATCAATAATTTGGATGAACTATTACAAAATTAAATCGTCGAAAAAACCGGAATTCTAATAATCAGTATTTGGGCTATTAATATTTCTATTACGAAAAAAATTAGTAATTACGAGGAAGGGGTGTGTAGGAAATGGAATAGACGTTTTTTAGATTTGAACAAAAATTTAATAGTTATCGTGACTTTTTAGGTTGCCATAAAAATAATACCAAAGATTCATGCTGAGCAACTTACTGGCGAAATACACCATCATCGTTATCTGCATCATCCAAACATTATATCTCTACTTGAAGTTATACCTACCGAAACACAAATATATATGGTATTAGAATATTGTAAAGGTGGTGAGTTATTCTATCTTCTTGACGACAATAAAGGAGGCTTTAACGAGAAGTCTGTGCGAAAAATGTTTAGTCAGCTTTGTAAAGCTGTTAAATATTGTCACGATAGAAGAATTGTTCACAGGTGAGAGTTTTGCTTGAATATTGTTGATTTCAATTTTGTCTAATAAAAAATAGATTGTCTAGCCAATTTTGTCTAAACTTTATAATCTTTTATTATTAACAATTAAAAATATCACTCACTCTGCGTATATTAGCTGTTATTTGTATACTATATATTTATTTATATTTTTAATTTTTTGCGGAATTGATAGAGACCTTAAACTTGAGAATGTTCTACTAGATTCCAATAATAATGTTAAATTAGGTGATTTCGGCTTTGCTCGTGATTGTGAAATAAATCAACTCTTGGAAAGCGGGTGTGGGTCACCGGGTTATACAGCACCAGGTTAGAGTAGCTATAATTCGGATTTTATCGAGCAGAGACTCTCTAATCTTTTATACCTTTAATTACTTTTAACTCTTAAGAGGTTCACGCGGGCAAAAAATACTCTGGACAAGGCAAGAACTTTTTATTCTATAATTATCATCTCTATTTTTTCATGATTATTATTAACATTAATAACCAAATCTAATCTTTTCCTTCATATAGAAGCTGATATATGGTCATTAGGCGTTATTTTATATACTTTACTTTGTGGTGAACTTCCATTTGATCATGAAGATGAAGAAGAACAACAAGTTATGATAAACAAAATATTAAGTGGGACATATCAAGTGCCAGAGTCATTATCAGATGGTAAAAATAATTTTGACGTGATCAGATAATAATTAGTTTTTGTCAAAATATTCTATGGTTTTTTTAAAAGTTTACATTTTATATGAATTATTACATTATCAGAGGCTAAAGATCTAATTAGATCGATATTAAAACTCGATCCTACGCGACGACCTACAATAAAACAGATTTTAAAACATCCTTGGTTTGCAATAAAAGACGACGACAAGAAAGATGGTGATGATGAGGACCAATGGATTACTACTAATGAAGATGCTGAGGATGAAGATTCAACATCATCTTTTGACGAAATCAGCAGAAGAGGTGCAAAGAAAGATAGTCAAAAAACCGAAAAAGACAATTCAGACCATTTGAATCCCATAAGATATCTTGAAAAACAGCGTCAAGAATTATTTGCCACAAAGCAGTCACCAATAGATAATAACAATCAAAAGACATTCAACCCTCGTGATAATCATCATAACTTTGGAAAAAAAGCTGTACCTTCTGCATATCGACGATATGGTACTACTATACAAGCACAACAGGCTATAAGTTCACCCCCTAAATCATTGGGACCATCAAAATCTACTAAGGCTTCAAGAAGATATTCGATTGATAGTAAAGCTTTTAACGAGAAAGTGCTTTTTACTACTGCTGAAGAAAAAGAATTATTAGAGAAAATGGAAGATTTAGGATTTGACGTGGCAGAAATTAAAAAAAGTGTATTAGAAGGTAAATGTGATTCCTCAAGTGGAGTTTGGTGGCTATTATTAAGTAAATTGAGAGAAAGGAAGAAAAAGAAAAAGAAAAATGAAAATACACGAGATACCACAAAAATTACGGTGGATGTTGCTATTGGTACTAGTGATTTTGAGATTAAAATAACGAAAGAAAATGACGGTGAAAAAGAAAATATTACCATTGAAACTCCTGATGATAATATTACCAATTCGCGATCCTCAAATGATTCTGCAGATTTGGAGGTGGCTAGAACATTAAAACTGATCGAGGATGATAGTTTTCTTACTCCGCCGCCTAGAACTTATCATGCAGTACCAGCCACAAGAGAACGTCGAAAGTCATTAATACTAGCACATCCCGAAGCTGTAGAACCTGTCTTAACAACAATAACGGCTACTGCATCTCCTCCTTTATCACCTAAAAAATATTCTTCTTTTACAAGCCCTTTAAGTTCAAGATCCGTAAGTCCAATACCAACAACATCTGCACTACCAACACCAATACCTAACAGCCGAGCATCACACCGTAAAAAATCAGGCTTACTTTCAACGATAAAAGGTTGGTGGGGAGGAGCTTCACATCATCCTAAGGATGGCGGTATTGGAAGTGGCGGATATAAAAAAACTGGTTTGAATTGGCCTGATAATGGTGCAGTTGTCCCTTCTGAATATGTACGGCCAAGGACAAGAACCAATCGAAGGAGTGGTAGTAAAACACCCCCAAATTATGATATCAATAATGATAGAAGATCATTGTCCCTACCAAGTAATTCACTTCGAGATAAAAAGAAGAAAAGAAGTTCACTGCAAGGTAGTAAAAGTCGACGTCCAAATCAACTGTCACCTTTAATGATACCCCCCGTTACTCCTTCTGTGGTACTCTCGCATAATTCCCCTGCATTGACGGCACCCATTCCTGGTACTCCTCCTGCTCGTACGAAAGCTACTTTCACGATCAATCGACGCAAACCTTTCGCATATCCTGGATCATCATCTTGGGGTCGAAAGACAGTTAAAAGGCAAAGTAATGGCTCAATTAATATTCTTTTGGATAATTTCAACAATGCTGGATTTGGCTCATCTGAAAATGTAAACGATAAAAGTGCTGATGTTGAAAATGAACATTACACTAATCATAGCACCAATAATAAAAAAATTAACATTAAGAATAGTGGTAGCAATAGTAATCGTCATTATCATCATCGGGAACATAATATTAAGGACACTTTAGAGAAAAGTGCAATAGAAAAATCTGATGATGTTGCTGTTCATCGTCAATCTGCTATAGATAAATTGACATTAACTGAACAGTCAAAAATAATAGAATCATCTAAATCGAGAACAATTACATTAGCTTCTCCTCCACCTACGCCACCCCCCCCTTCACCATCCTCCTCCTCTTCATCTCTAAATAAAGAAACAGAAAAAACAGTAGTAATAATACAACAACCCTCAATGCTCTCTCAGCCTTCAAAAATCAACAATAATTTAGAAGCTTCTTCCGATAAAACTAAAACATTTCCACGACAAGTTATAAATGAACTATCAAGTGAAGAAGATGATTCGGATGTTTTTGTTGATGCATCTGATTTTTCTTCCATTAAAGCGAGATCACGTTCACCTTCCCCTTCAACTTTACCTTCTAATAATTCGCCTATTTTTAAACCTGACGGGACAATTATGAATACATCATCTTTCTCTGCACCTCCCCTTCGATCATCGATGAAAATTTCACATCTCAAATCAGATTATATCTCATCGCCTCCTTTGTCGCCCACCAAAGATATCGATGAAAATCATGTAAAGTCGTCAGAATTTTCCGTATCTCGAGGTCTTGTTCCTGCGGTAACAACAAATAATGCTTCTATTATCGATTTAAAAAATAATATTCAATCCCAAAATGAAAATATATCGCCCATACAAGGAGATCAAATAAATTCATCGATAGATTTACTTTCAACACCTCCAGAATCACCTATACTTCCTGCACTACAACCATCTTCACCTTCCTTTTTAAAACCATCTCAAGCTCATCATCATAAACCTCGTGCTCGTTCTTCTCCATTACCTCTGGATACTACTAAAATATCAGAGTCCGAAAAAAAGCTCATTATTGGCAGTGCCGATAATCGAAAAGCCCAAAATGGAACATCTGAAAGCCACTCAAAAAATGACTTTTCACTGTTATCGTCATCACCACCAACAAAAGGAATTTCTCCTCTTAATGCATCACATCGAATATTTCAAATGAATAATCATGTTGATCGTGTTATTAGACGTGGTAATACTCCAGGTTCTCGGTTTTCCATAACAAGTCGAGATAACCCGAGTAATAATAATATCTCTGGGCTGAGTGCTGGTCGTCGACCAAGTATGGCAAAACGACCACAAGGCGCAATTATTGAAGAGGAAGAAGAAGAAAATGACGACATGGAAGAATAATGTCATTCACTTAATAAAAAAGTTATGTAGTAAAAGGGAAGGTTAAAAAGTAGTGTAATTTTAATCTTTGTTGAATAAGATGGCATAAATTTACAAACTTTGGTGCTGTCATTTAATTTAGTTTGCTAAAAATTTCCTTTTATGTCAAATTGTAAAAAATAGTTTTATTGCACATTTCTATTCAACACTAAAAGTATTCTATTTAGTTATTTTTACAAATGCTAATATCCATAATGCTAATTATATAACCTTATTTTATAATAATTATTATTTTCACATGAACTAAAAAAGGATAAATTAACATTTGCCTATTCGGTACAAAAATGAAATTTTCTTTAACCAATTTACCTTATCCATCAGGTTTTCCACCAAGGAGATAATTCTAAGTTAATTGAAATTACAAACATCATGAAAAGTAATGCTAATTTCTTTGATAATTTAGATTATTTGATAGGTAAATAGTAGATCATGATAGAAAGTCTATATTACAAAGAAGAAAGGAACTTTTGTAATTTTTCACCGAGCTAGGATGTGAATTTCATTCAGACAAAATAATAAAATGAGAATTCAAAGTACGATCGTCTCTGAAAAGATCGATAGTCAGAAGATTCTAAATTAACCATATTAATAATGAATTGAGATCATAATAACGATAATGTGATATATTTTATATCAATTTATTTTGGTAATTTTGGTAATTAACACAAATAAAACAAGAACACAATAATTGATCTTTCTTATCAAAATCTAAGATAACATTTGAGAAATAAATTATTTAATATGTAAATGAAATATTTTCTCCGAGCTTAGCTAAAGAATTCCAATTCGTTTATGACGTTTTCAATTATTAAACGATTATCTTGCATAATATTTGTGTTTGCAATGTGGTCAATTGACTAATAAAAGTTCATTTGATAAATTATTCTCTTGCATCACTAATAATATAATTGATTTCATATCAATAAATTTTTCATTCACACGTTTATCTTTTAGAAATCTGCGTGCATTTATGTACCGAACAACATAATAATGCGGACAAAGCTTTAGACATAAATAAATAAACGAGAATGAGAGTTAACAAGGTTCACAAAAATCTCAGGTAATTGTGGAACAATGACAAACGTTTTACCTTATCTTTTGAACACAAAAAAATCAAATGGCAGAAAGAAACTACTACAAGTTGTCAATTCCATTTGCATGCATTATCTCTTTAAAAACGGAAAATTTTCGCCTTCAATTTCCGGATTATTCCACTTTAATTTTATGAAATCATGTGCAACCGCCAATTTTAGCACAAAAGAAATTTTATCATGCGAAATTGCCTAATTACCGCCTACTTGCTTTGCCAGCCCATTGATGCAAGAAATGGTCAATTAATTAATATACACATGGCTATCTATTGTGCTTATGTATCCACGAGGCCAAGTCGGCATTAATATAATTTTCGACTTTTATCTATGTAAAACGAATAGAAATGTGTTAAATACACTCTGAATAATAAACATTTACGCATTTAATCAATTTCACATGTGACTAGAAAGACATATCTCACATGTGACTCAGTTTAACCATTAAACCAATAAAAATTGAACGCAAAGATTTATTAATAAGCAAGATCGGCTGTATGGTTTCTAAAAGTGCGTAGCTTTTCACACTTGTCTTACTTGACAGCCAAATTTCCCCGAAAATGTGAGTACAAAGGTGAATCTAAGGCCCTAATTTTTGGGGGGTGCAGTGTGTTGTTGCTGGTGTTTTGTGATGAGTGTACACTTACACACACAAGCGTTAGCTGACAATTTTTTTATTGTCCATCCAAAAAGAAAAATGGCTGAATTTTGAGAAATGTTAATCAATAATGGAATTCGATTCCAAATTCTCGAGAAAATCATTGGTCAAAATCGTATGAGTCAACCGTTATATCCCTCGTATATGAATTCCTTTCACTGTTTTTCGCCTTTCCAATTTACAAGTTTGCATGCAGGAGACAATAAAACGATTGTAAAAGTTTATTGAGTATATCATTGATATTCGAACAAAATATGAAATGTCTGTATGTATGCGCATGGAAATGTAGCATAGTGTGATTATGGAAAGTGATAGATAACAAAATATATATAATTCAAGTTATTGCGGATGGACCCGCCGACTAAATGGCATTATGAATTTGAATTTAATACAATTAAAGAATTGATACATTTCTTCACCCCAAAGTTTCTTACTATTAAAGTTACACAACACATGTTCTCGAATTAGAAAGTTGATCCAACATAATTGCATAATTGACCAATGCTAAGGTGCATGTGGTTGCTTATTTATAGTTACACATCGGCGTCCAAATACACATATATAGGTTGAAGAACGGAAACGACGGAAGATTTGGAAAAACTAGGTTGAAAAAATAGGAAGCGAGCGCATATTTGTTTTATGTTTATCCAGTCATTACATTATTCTTTTTGGTTGTTTTGACTACTGAAAATTTTCTTTGTGTGGTAAGTGTCAGTCAGCTTATAAAGAAGATATATTTATTTTTATTATATGTGTATGTGCGCGCTTGTATTACCCGATAAACTGGTTTTATAATATGACGATTAAGGGGGGATGACAATTGGTGTGATATAATTTTAATTGATGATACATAATTTTATTTTGATATTATAATGTGTGTGACCAGTTTAAAAATCGCTCCGTTATCTTATCTCGCAGAGTAATACAACCTTAAGAATGTTTCTCTGACAGCCTCCTAAAAAAGGCATATCAAAAAAATCGCATTGCAGAGATTGCAGAGGCGGCAGATTGACAGTCCGTTTGTGTTGATTTGTTCTGGCTGAATTTCTTTATGATGCAATTCGTAATATAGTTTCGTGTCCCTGATTTCTCCCCTTCGATTTCTTCTTTCGACCTCTTTTTTCAATTATTCAATTATTATACCAGAAACAGTAAAGCGGCGGCAAAGTCTTTGTTCAAATGGAAATTTCCTATCGTTTACATGTATGCTATCGTTATTGATTGTAGTATTACTAATTAATAATAATTTATTATTCACTGCTTTTATTTTTTCTATTATCGTTATAGTAAAACAAATTTATTTTATTTTCTTTCCTAAATTCTCTTTTCTCTATCTCTCGCTCGCTCTTTTTCTCGTGTAATAATATTCCATAATGTACTTGGCGAAATTCCTGACTTTTGTGCTCATGATATCATTAAACATCGCATGTATTGATTGGTTTCAACGATTTCGAAATTCTATTGGTTCAATAAGACAGCCCTAAAATTATTTTTTTGTTTATACCCCATTCTATGCATATATTACACAGAGATAAAGTAAACCTGTTTCCAGTCCCCAAAATACATTTTAAAAAGAAGCCGTCTGTTCGTTTCAACCTTTCAGCCGCTCTAAAAAAAATAAAAACATTGGCTTTTGCTGATAATACTCTGCAACCAAGAGTAAGTGTCGAACGTGTAACGTGTTGTGTATGTTTATATTCTGCGTGCTCTTTATCTTTTTGTTATTACACAATGTTTTTATTCTTTATATATAACCGTTTAAGTGTATTATTCTTGTTAAAATAATATTACAATACTGAATTTTGTTATTGTAATTAATAAATGACAAAGAGCAAACACATTATTAATAATAATGCATTATTAATATAATCTTTCTCATTCACTCTAATCAATTATAGTTCACCGTTGTTTACTACATATATATAATTCCAAACATATTCGACGCAACGCGTGATTTATCTAACTACTTTTCGAAATACAAAAACAATTCTAAAAATACAAATGGGTCCAAATCATATAATGATGAATATCGAAGGCGCTTCATTCATTTATGCACCACAAATAGCAACCTGCTCGATGAATCGATCGAATGATAATAAAATTCTTCAGGTTCAAATTCCAACTTACGAGATGATTCCTCCATCATCAACAATTCCACAAATATCAGAAGAACTTATGTCATTCGCACTTAACTCGAATTCAGATCAAAAATTACAATTTCAACAATGGTTAGAAGCTAATGGTGTAGTTGGTGGTGAATCATCAACTCCAACGATGGAAGAGCTTCAGACGCCACTCGTTGAGAGTTGGATGGATGAATCACTGTTTACTAGTAACGATAATTCGGGCGATGTAATGTTACCAAGTCCCACCGAGGCTAAATGTCTCTCGCCTGGTGGTTTGGATTCGCCGGTGGACAGCAGTTTCGGCGGTAGCAATGGCATGGATAGTCCTCAATTAATGAACAACTCTTCTTTTGATGACGCCATCCTCATGGATGACTCCCTCTCTTCATTGGATTTTCTGATGGGTTCGGATGCCGGATTTGCAACTTTATCCGATGGTAATACACTTGCACTAGTCTCTCCGAGTCAGATGCAATGTCAATCACTTCGTAGATCTTCTCCAGCAATCAAACAGGAAGATTGCATTGACATGTATATCAAACTTGAACAGGCTGAACATCACATATCACATCTTTCCGATAGTAATGAAGATACCAATGATGGTAAATATTGAATTCTTTTATTTGAGTATTTTAAATAAGTTATTAACCTTTTTCTTTACATCCTCTTTTTCTCGATGATTAGATCGCAAATCTTCATCACTTCGTCTGATAAAAGAAGAAAAATCCGGTAATAGTTTCTCTCCATCATTGCCAACAAATGTACTTCAAGTGACAACAACTACAAATCAACCCGCTAACGTCGAAGTTGCAACACCTCAAAAACAAAGATCATCGTCATCGGGCAAGAAACATACCAGTAACAAACCACCTCGTCAACTTGAATGCTATAATTGTGGAGTAAATAAAACACCACTTTGGCGTAGAACTCCCGATCGCATGCATTCTTTATGCAATGCTTGTGGGCTTTATTATAAACAATATAATACTCACCGTCCATTGCATATTAGAAATAAACCAAGTGCAACAACTGGTCCGTACAATTTATCAACGTCCAGGAAAAATTCCGCTAATAATTTAACTTCTGGTGCTAATGCATCCACTGCCAATTCTGAAACTTCTATTGATAATGTTAATACTAGTGTTAATATTAATAGTGAAAGTAATGCTGCTGATGAAGAAATGGTTACTGAAGAATCTCAATTATCAGAACTGGCTCATGAAAATCAGGAAGAATCAGCAGACCAACAATCAGAGTCTTCATCCAACGAAAATCCCATACGCTGCGTAAATTGTGCTCAAACTCAAACACCATTATGGCGTAAGAATGAAAAAGGCCAACCAATTTGCAACGCATGTGGCCTTTACGCTAAGTTGCATAATAGAGATCGGCCAGTCGCTATGCGCAAAGCAAAGATTCAACGTCGTCGTCGTGATTGGGGTGCCAATAATGGAAGTAATCCAAATGGAAATGGTGATTTATCTGGATCAGAAGGATCTTCCGATTCCGGTTCAATAAGTCCGACATCCCCACAACAAATGCCTCTTTCCATTCAAACCATTTTACCTGGTCAACGCCCAATTATGCCATTGATGGTCAGTCAAACTCATATTGCTCCTAATCAACTCGCAATTATTTCCGCTGCTGCTCATCAATATCAACAGCAACACTTTACTTCGCAATTCGATTTTGATGATTCACGATTCAAGGAGTTCGTCGGTAAAATGAATAGAAAGCAAGTTGAAGGTATCTTGTCAGTTTTAGAAAGAAGGTGCGACATTCTGAAACAGGTTCTTGATGATCCTGAAGAATCTTAAGTATAAGCTCGCCAAATAGATTTTTTTCGTTAGTCACTTACATTATTAGGAATGCCAAATGATGATCATCCCTTAATAAATATGTTCTCGGTATTGGCAAAAGTTTTTATTATCATATGTAAATCAATTTCTTTTTCTCTTCTCAATCTAGAATTTTCTTTCAGCATTTTTTTTCATCATGAACTTTTTAGTGGTGGCTACTACACAATTATACTTACATATTATTCCCCCTCCCCCAACAAATTTCACATGTGTACAACCCCACGATTTTCCTATTATAAGATTCCCCATCAACCTGTGCATTGTGTTAAAAAAAAAAACGCCACATTTTCATGTGTAAGCGTACTATACTATTAATTTGTATATTTTTTCTTTTCTTTTTCCTCAACCCGCTGTGCGTGAATTTTTCCCCTCAGTTTTGGTTGATTAATTATTATTATTATTACGATTTTCTCGCATAAGTTCCGATTATCAGGTTTTAATTTTTCTGTAGAATAAAAATCGGGTAGAATATTATCAGTAAGCATACATATATTTTATTCACCAAAAGTAATAAACGATTTCTAATAATAGTGGTATTATTCCCTTAACAAATTTCTTACACTCCGTCTACTGCTCGTCATTTTCCCTTTTCCTTTCTCTGCATTTATAAATTCCGGGAACAAAATGGAAATCAAGTAAAAAAAAATAGATAAAATAAAATAAAATAAAATAAAACATATCGATATACAGTGGCAATCAAAAGAAATGCAACAGCAAAAAATTTATTAATAAACAGTAAAAATATTTTTTATTTTTACATCAAAATGAAGATTTTTTATTCTCTAATTGCATATAAAGTCAATAATTTTATAATGCCATATAAAAAAAATTATGTTAAAACTTTTTTGTAGAATTAGCATCATGTGGTCTACAAGTCTGATGAGGAAGACGTAAATGGAAACTGTTATTTTCTGTCAACGACCTATTGGGGTTATATTGAAAGATGCTTCAGCTGAGAGTACAAATGTCCTATTTACGTTTGCAAGCCTTCACTTGCCCAAGTTCTTGTCGGATGAATTTTGGCCTCACTTTGCGGAGATGATAGCAAGTGGTCTTTTGAAGACAGCGACTGAACGCACAATGTAGAATCCACCTTGAGATCAAATCAGGTAGTCGCCTTGATATCTTGGCAACAAACGGGATTCAGTTACGAGTTCAAAGTAACAACTCCTGACAACAGAATTATAGACGATAAAGGGCAAGCTGCCAAACTGTTTAAACAGTGAGATGTGGCTGGCCAATTGATAAGCGGTACATCCTCTACTGATGACTTGATATATTTGTTGACGATGCTCTTATTGAAAAATTGTTACTGAATAAATTACCTGATTTGCTCCCTAAAGATATTAATATTTACCACGTGGAAACTTAAAAGATGAAGATTTTGCTAAAATAATTAAGAAAACAAAAATAAGACGTTAAGAAATCGTGGTGTGGCAATTCCACAATTTTACCAATCCAATTTTTCCATTTTGTTGCCAATTCATAATTGCCTGGCCAGAAAATGTATTTATATAAGGAGAGTCACAGATATTACGTAATATAATTTTATTATATCTCTATTCCCCCTCCTCTCTAGGTAAGATTATTTAATATGAACGTGATTTTTCAAATCCTCCCTCCCCCCTTAAGAAATTACGTAATGTCTGTCACTCCCCTAAAAATATAATTAAAACTTGAATTATTTTTAATATTATAATATTATTTATATCAAGAAATCAATCAATATTTTATTGGTAATTCTTCATCTAGAATTTTTGTTCTTTTTATTGAATAATTTGCTTGTTTATTTAACTAAATTGCTTTATCAAATTAACAATTAATACTTTAATAATATTAGTATTGTTATTATTCTAGGAGTTCATGAAGTTATGTGAAGAAGAATCTATAATATTATAATAGATTATTTAACCAGGATAATTATAATAATATATTAATTATAATAGTATATTAATTATAATAGTATATTAATTATAATAGTATATTAATAATAATGAATGGAAGTAGGAATGTTAACCAGTTCCAAATGGTTCTAATCAAGATTGTCTTTTAAATAATCAGATAATGAGAAAAAATATTTGAAATAAGAATATGCAAAATTTTAGTTTATAAAAATATTGTGAATTCTTATATTAATTAAATAAAAATATTAAATACTTTAGATTTTGTATTACTTTTTTTCTTTATATTTTTAGATAACTTGTTTAAAACTCACAATTTTCAAAATTTTGTCTAAAAAATAGTCTTAATTCTAATAATTTTATACAAATTACTAAATTAAAAATAATTTTTTTCTTATAAGTTACTAATTAAACTTGTTTATAACATATTTTAATAACTTATTTATTGAAAATAAGTAATAAAATATCTTGAAAAATCAGAATTCTTTAAAATATAGAATTTGTAATGTATTTTAGAATTGAAGTAATTCTGAAAAATTGCTAATTTTGAAAATAATTTTATTTTATTAATAAAATTTATTGATAACAATATTAAGAAGAATTATAGTCAAATTTCTTTATAATTATATCTGTTTATAGTTATACTCCTTTATAGTCACTTTGTTTTGCTTTCTTATTTATATATAAATATAATAAAAAAATTTTTTTATAGTCACATTCTCTCTATAATCACCAAATTTTGCTTTCCTAAGGGTGGTGACTATAAAGAGATTTGATTGTATTTATTATAATTAAAACAATTTGATTTGTTTAGAATTAGTGATTTTTAAAATTATTAAAATTTTAGAACTAATTAACATTTCTAAATAGAAGAATATAGATAATATAATTAAATATATAATGTTTCAAGTATTAAATTATAATTATAATAAGTTTAGAATAGTAATAACAATATATTTATAATATGATTAGCTAGAATAAGATCTGAAAAATGTTTAATTAAAAAATATTATATAATAAATATATAATTTATTATAAAATTATAATATAATAATAAATATATATAAATTTAGAAAATTGTTATTTATACCTTTTATTTTTATTATTTATACTCTTCATATAATTCTGATTTCAATTCTAATTATTTGTTATATACTGTTTGTGTCAAGTATTTCATGTAATTATACCATTATCATTATAATTAATATATTATAACTGTTAGATATATCTATATACTGTTACCATTTTTATTAAAAATTTCATAATTACTTAATTATTAATCAACAAAAATTAAGATATATTACAAAGAATATTAATATAACATCATGTAACTCAATGATGATCAAATTAATTTGCCTCTTTATTTTTACATTATATGATTATATTTAGTATATATAATTATCTTTTTGATATTTAAATCATAATATCTAAATAATAATCACATTTTTGTATACTTTTTGTTTTATTTTCTTTTACAGTTCCACTAAATTTGTTTATTCTTGTATTTTTTACTATAAAACTTATATTTTTATTATTAATTTATCTTATTTATATCCATATTATGCTTATTTTTAACCAATTATTCTTATATTTATTTTATTTTCTTTTTCACTCTTGTTACAATTATTCTTTTTATCTTTTAATTTCTTTATTTTTTTTATTGCTGAAGTGTAGTCTTGTTTACAGTAATATCTAATCTAGTATACATAATACGAAGAAAAAGAAATAAAATACTATAAACTACCAAAAATCTACATTAAAAGAATTCAGTACGACTAGCCACCAGTGACCTGTCGAAGCTTACACAGAGTCCAGAGAATCCATCAAATTGTCGCT